GGAGCATTCGGTTGAAACAGAATAATGTTATAGAAAAATCATGCACATTATGTTGAAAATACCTACATACCCAGCTACAGTGCATCTGCCGTGGATGCTGATTACCGACTTGTCATCTGAAGCGTATTGATCATTAACGTTCTTCATTTACACGCGCTCTGCAAACCAAACTACAGGCTGATTTAGACAGATTTACAACAACACTTATCACGTGTTGTTGTAAATCAGGTTATGGAGGCTGTCTGCTGATGTGCAGCCAAGTCTCCCCGTTATGGACGACATACTATAGGCTAGGGTTTGTCGCACAAACACAGCGATGCTCATTTCACCGTCTCCATCTTCAGAGCCAGAGGAGGCAGCAAAAGACACCAGGGCCGACTTGTTAAAACAAACACACAGACACACAATAGGCAGAGGAACATACATGTCACCTACCAGCAGCTCTACGGTCGATCAGCATCCGATATGTCGAGGATTATGAACAGCGCTCCTGCTGCTGCTCCCCGCAGCCCGCTGCCCAGCCCAGCTCCTTCAACACTACCGTGTCTTGGTCTCACGGTGGCGCTGTGTGCTCGTGGAGGAAGAGCACACGAGGTTATGTAATAGTATAGTGACAGCAACACATATTAGATAGTAAGTGAGTGAGTGGTTGTAGATTTTGGACAGTGATCCTATAAATTATACACAGGCTAATATAGCCTGGCTATTAGCCTATAACCTAGCTGAAGACCAGCTTGAAAGGATAGCCTACGTCTCAAGGGGTGGATTTAAGATAGTAGGGGAGACCAGGCATGGTTGTAACAGGGGTCACTTGTAACACCTCCAATTTCTCCAATCAGGAACAAGTTACGAATCACCTGATACATACTTGATTTAATCCTTATTCCACGTGAGGAAGTAGCAGTCAGTGGCAGATACAGACAATTTTAGAAGGAAAAAATAATTTTGTGGTACGAAAGTTTTTATTTTTTATTTTTGTGATAGCAATATCCTGCTATGTAGTTAAACTCTTCAAACTTAAATCATGTTTATTGTGTGTCTGTGCAGATATCTTCCACGCAAGTTGTCAGTGCTAATGTTTTAGCTGTTATCTGTGAACTAGTTCATGGCTACAAGAGTCTAGTTTATTGTAACAACAACAACACACAGACATGGACACAAACACACACACACACACACTCACACACGCACACACACACACACACACACACACACACACACACACACACACTGGTGTTGCCTATTTGCACATTTTTTTCTGTTTTATTATTATGTTCTTATACTATGACTGACAGTAACAAAGATACTTGGCTAACACCTACACCATTTCATAGCAGACACATGTCACTAGTTTGTATTACATTTTGAACGCGCTGGTTTTGAAGAGCTCCAAGATACACACAGAAATGTCAAAAATGTTACAACCATCCCCTCCATCTCCTCCTTCCTCATTTACAAATCCAGAAGTCATTATCGTGTAAAGGTTGTTAGTTTCAAAACTTTTACCAATGGATGCAAGATATCTCTCACTTCACTGAAAAGTCTGTCTAAGTGTTTATACCCCGGAAATTTCAAGAGTTCACATCATCACACACTTGAATAAGTTGCACACTGTGTCACGATTGGCTCCAAACTTATGATGTTGCAAGTTCCTGCTCATGCAAGCACGTCTTAAACTGATTTAAGGTGAGCACAAAAAAACTTACCCACTGCATTAATGTGAAAACAGACTCTGTACAGAGACCTACATCATCCTTTGCTGTAAATATAATAAGACATTTTCCAGTATTTTGCTGTTACCTAGGTTGTTTTTGTATTTCTTGTATTGTTTTAGACAGTAATGTATTCCAGAAGAAAATGAATTTACATTTTGCAAAGTAAGGTAAAAAGGGTACTGATTTGGTACTAGGAGTGTCACAGTGTATACTGTACTGTACCTTGGTCTTGTATTATCAAATGTTCTGAAACATGTTAGTCCATAATTAAAAGTTCTTTAGTTGGAGTTGAATGACTTTGCAACTCATTCTGGGGTGATGCCTCCTGTACACTCTCAATATGAAAAGTGGAATATGAAAACGAATGGAGACGGACTGAAATGTAATAACAGTAGTGTAACCTACTAACGTTATGAGCAGCACCCAGCACCCATTATGAGCAAATCCTGTCATTAACCTAAACAAGCTAATGTTATCTATGTTAGCATCAGCGCTGTGTGGGGAGCATTATCAAGATGCAGACTCTGTCACAAGTAACAACAATATTGATAACATTTCAGGATGTGACATTGTGACATGTTCTCAATTTTTAATGTTAGCAACTGAAAGTCTCACCATGAATTCTGTGTAAACATCTTAGATAAGTTTTAAGTGTTTCCTCTTTTCATTCCAAATGCTTTAAGGAATTAGCTATTTTCATTTTAAATCATTTGGAAATTTTTGGAAAATAAGATTTTTAAAAAGAGAAACTTTGTGTATTTTGATAAGGTGAACACTGTGTAGTATTATGTTGCGACAATTTTGCTTTCAGAGAAAAACAGACCAACAATTGCTGAGGTAACTTGATATTTCAACTTGACCCTAGAGCAGTAGGCCTATAGTAGTTGAGCCCACGTAAATGTTTGAATTAGAAAAAAGTTCTGCCAACTTAACATTTAAACGGTGTGTACATTGTGTCAACTAAATAGAAAAGTGTTACTAGTCCAGCTCAGTGCACTGTATAATAGTAATTTACCGCATATAATACATTTAGAGTTAATCTCAAATTGAAACATTAGATGGCGCCAAAGCACTGAGCTGTGATGTGGGTGCGGGCACAGCTACAGTTGCTGAGCCTGATCAATTATGCTTACATGGCACCAACATAATTACTGACACTTAAGTTAAAATAAAAATAAAAAATAAAAAAAATAAAAGGAAATCAGAGCAAATTAAACCACTTGTTAGGCTACAATGTTCAGAATAGCAGCTGCACAGCGGTTTTTGTTTATGGGTTCTCGTCTTCATAATTAAGATTGTATAGCTTGTAGCCTGCTGTATGTGACTAATCTGGCTCAGACTCAATGTGTTACAACTTAACGTGGACGCAATATGAAAGCAAACACATATTTAAAAAAAAGAAAAGAAAAAATGCCTTTGTTCAGATTACTTTTGACATAAAGCCTATAGGCTATATGATATATAATCATATAATTACAACAATGGTGCTCAGGTCAGAGATAGTATAGAAAGCTGGGCTTTAGGCTACCTTTAACTGACTTTCATTGTTTTAGCTGGATTCCCCGCAGAGGCTCCATTACACAGCCTATCACTTAAAGAGCCGACACACTTCACTGCTGCATTAGTCCTCATTGGTGTTGCCTGAACAATGGAAACATTTTTTTTTTTTACTTAGGCTTTTATATAAAATAAACATTTGCTTTGTTGCTTTAACTAAAAGGCAGTCAGACAGTGAAGGAGAAATGCAGCTCTCTTTCAAAATGATTCAAATGACTTTGTCTTAATTCACTGAATTTTTTTGGGCTCCAAATTTCTAATATGAAATTATTTTCCTGGATGCACTTGGCTGTAAATCTGGAGGCGTTTACTGTCTGTGCTACTGTATAGTAAAGGCGAGGCCTATTAAAACACAATTGTAAAAAAAAAAAAATAAATAACTGAACAGAGACGCTCTAAATAACATTAACAGGCTGGATATATTATGTAAATATCACAGTCGTATAACAGAAGAACATATAGTAACTTCTCCGCAGTGTGTTTTAATCCTCCCATGTGGTTTAGAGTGTGAATTGTGGGCTTGTGTTTTTGTTATCATAAGCCTGTTGTGTTATAGAAATGATTCCGCTTATCTGCCACACAGATGAAAACATTAAGATAAGAGCAGGAGACAAATCACCGTTTGACTTGATAGTTTTTATGTAACCAAGGCTGAAAACACACTCAGGCGCATTCTTCACACACAGATAGCCTAAATGCTTTGCCACCTTTAACACTATGTTTAATCAAATCAAATCAAATGATGTTGTAGCCTATAAATAAAAAAGATATCAATTCTAAATATAGATTCAAATCGTTTCTTAATGTCTCTTCATTAGTAGCCTATAACCCCATGTCAAACAAGCACAACTTATACAGCCATATTGTAGCCTATTACATTTTTTAACAGAACTGAGTTCAACTAAATATTTTTATTCCACGTTCTTGCATTTCCGCCACCACATTTCATATGTGCATTCTGCTTAACCTCTCTACAAACTGGACCAAAAGCAACGTAAGTAGATCCACTATGGTGCCTTTCACAAAGCTTGTCCTATCACTGTGAAACAAACTGAACAAAATAAGAGGAAAATAAAACACTGAAAATCTCCTCGTGTCATCGCGGCAGATCAATACAATTTAGTAAAAAAGTAATAGGCCTGATCAGAATAAAATAAAAACACCTATCAATAGTGTAAAAATAGAACCTCCAGTCTACACTGTAAATTTACATAATCACTGAATATTCATGTCCACCTGAAAATAAGCGGTGATAAATATGAATGAAACGGTGATGTTAGATTTATCCTCCACCACATCCCTGCTACACAACGCTCTTTGCTTCGTGCGCTTTTTACTGCTACTCGACTTCCTAGGATAACTCGACTCCTCTCTCTCTCTCTCTCTCTCTCTCTCATTCTCTCTCTCTCTCTCTCTCTCGCTCTCTCTCTCTCTCTCTCTCTCGCTCGCTCTCTCTCGCTCTCTCTTGCTCTTGCTCGCTCTCTCTCCCCCTTAGCCCAGCCCCCTTGATCCCCTCTGTCCATTGGTGTCTTCAGTGTCTCTTTTCTCCTTCCACCCCCCACCCCCCTCCTCCTTCCATAGGTAGTCCATAATGAGTGTCCATTGGTTTTTATTATGGCTTGTCCCCCTCCCACTGGCTGCCTTCGCCCTGCCCATGTTTTGTATGTCTCAGTCCGTCCATCTCCTGACGTTCAAGTTCGCAGGAACGTCACGTCCGCACTTGAACTTGCAGCTCAGGGGGGCTTCGCCGTACCCCCATCACTCTGTCTTTGCGAAAAAGTCATGAAGAGCTCCGCACAGCCCGTAGCGCTCTACGCCTCAGCCTCTGTATGATCCGCAGTTCATTTGCTGTGTTTTTTTTTTCTTTCCTATTTGGATGTCAGACGCATCAATGAAGATATTTCGTTTGGAGTCTACCTTGTAGGAACGGATTTCCCAATGTGAACTCAGCTGAAAAGCCGCCACTAAAACAACATGTCTCGCCGCAAGCAAGGCAAACCCCAGCACTTGAGCAAACGGGAGTTTTCGCGTAAGTGGAGATAAATCGCATTTTACTTTCATTTGGCTGTTCTTCACCTCTCAGCGAGCCTACTCTTTTTTTCTGTTTAGGGCAACTTCCTTGGGGAATTGTGATAGGTAGGATACGGCCACGGACGGACTGTCCTGAGTGAAATTACAAACATATCCAAGGCTGAAGGTTATTTTAAAATGATTATGGCATCATCTGATCAAAGTTTTGAAACAACGTGACAGCTTCAACTTGTGTTGGTTAAGGTGTTGTATAACGCAGCCTTCAAGGTTTCTTTCGCCATTAAAGGGCATGCATGGGCTCAATGGCCAGAGACCTTTGCCTATATGAAGACTGCCCATACTACTGCTGCTGCTGCTGCTGCTGCTGCCGCTGCTGCCTTCCGCTGAGAAGTTTTCAGGTGCGGCCTGTAAAGCTATTCCACCACTACAACCGACCCTCTTTTACCGTTGTAAGAATGGATTTCCAGAGGTTCGGGCTGGTTTGGACACAGGGAAGTGGTGTTTACATACCCGCTTGTCCACAGCGCAGAGACCTCGTGTGCGTTGCCTAGAAGGAATACTGTTTCTGTGCAGCCGCTTGCTTAAAGACAGTGTAGGTCATGTGTAGTATGTTATCTTTCACCATTAACAGATATTTGTAGCATAGATCCACGGGAATCTCCGCGAGCGTTACTACTGTTTTACGACCGCGAGAGAGGAAAACCAGGAAAGTGGTTTTACGCGCGTGTGTGATAAAATTGCAGGGCACAGACTGAGATTGCATGGTGGGGTTTTTTTTTTTTTCTTCGGCGCTGTCGAGATACATTTGTGTTTGGAGGAGAATTATTCCCAACCATTTGTGTGATGCCAGCAGGAACTGCTTTATCAATTCACTCTTACGCGCGTCAGTGAATGAGGAGACGTCTCCAAATACACTGATTGTTTCCATTTAAGTTTTAGTAGGAGATTAGGAGCCCATGTATTTCCTTTGTCCTTAATTATTTTCATCTTAAACGTTTCTCTGCGAGGTCGTGGTTGATCCCTTTTCGATTGAAACCAATTATGCCCTCGCAACATGTATGCTTTCATTTGCCGGACAATTGTCAGAAGTTTTGCCAGTGGGGGGCGCAATATGATTGTAGTCCTGTAGGCCACTGCTGAACTTGAACTTGATCCACTTCATCTCACTGCTGCTTGACCAAGAGGATCGGTTTAGTAGAAATAAGAGATTGTAGCATATATTTCATGTCCCTTGCCTTGCTGATGTGTTTGTTTTATCTAAGGGAGAAAAAAATTATGAAATAGAAATATTCAGATTATTGAAAGAGTATGCAGAGAGAAAGTGTTTACAGACAACAGCTGTGGGCCTGTTTTCAATGGAGCAATTCACAAAAATTAGACGTTTTTAAAACCTTTTTTTTTTTTTTACCCTTACAGATGTTTCATTTAACCTGTTTAATTTAGAATTTTGGCTCTGACCCAGATTTAGTTTAGTTTCACTTAGTTTGGAATAAAACTCATGTTTTTATATATTCATATTATTAATTTGAACAACACAATACTTGCAACTGCATGGTCACGCTTTGCATAATTTTATTTTGGGGCCAGTGATGAGCTGTCCTGTAGCAAAGGCACACTTTATTACATATTTATACATGCAGAGAGGAAATGAATGTGCTGTATATGCCTGATGCTTGCATTTGTTTTTCTTTTTTTTATTCATTCATTTGAAAAGGAAAAAAAAAAACATCTCAGTTTTTCCATTTTTCTGTGAGTGAGTTGGCTGAAATTATTGATCCACAGGAAGTCATAATAGTCTAAAATGGCAAACGAAGAGGCCTAATGATTTTCCTGATAGTGGAACAGACCTACCTCAGTATCCCAGTGGGAAACATTGGCCTAAACTACTTTAAATTCTGGCACAGTCAGATGTCTGAAAAAAGGATTATATTTTAGTTTTCAAAGTTATTCACATCACTCTTGCTTGGCATCAAAATGAGATTATTTGGTTTGAAGAAAATCTTTCCACCTAACCCAGCCTCACACACCTCGCCTATGTCCATGGCATAAGCTGGTTAAGATAAGCTCCAGTAAAATAGGGGCGAATTCCCTCATCTTTAATGCAGTTGAACATACAAGTAACAGGGCCTATCTTGCATAGTCCCTCACCACCTTCTCGTCTGACCCGACACGGAATTAAAGGTTGAACCAGCGGCAAGAATTCATCACATCTTATCTCAACATCCCAGTCGGGGCGCCCAGTGTCGTTTACCGTGTGGCTAGATTACTTCTTTTAAAATGCTCTCTCTCTCTTCTCTCTCTTCTCTCTCTTCTCTCTCTCTCTCTCTCTCTCTCTCTCTCTCTGTCGGTACTTCAGGGACCTACTCCACATCCAACCCCTCAATGTCTAACCTTGGTTCACGAGATCCCAGCACTTTTAACGAAATGGGGTCCAATCATCTTGAACTCAAATTAGAATCTATTTTTTGATTCTCAGAGGTGTTAGGTTCATTAAAAAAGCGAGATTGGCAGCACAATAAAGAGGGTCAAGCAACTTAATCATTTGGCTGCTGCCTGCAAGCTGAACATGTCAGTCCTTATCGAAGTAGTCTGTGCTTTCTTTCTTTCTTTCTTTCTTTCTTTCTTTCTTTCTTTCTTTCTTTCTTTCTTTCTTTTTTTTTTACATTGTTTACAACTTGACCTTATTCCTGTATTTGTCTTCAAATATTGTCGTTTACAAGCACTACACAATCCCTGCCTCTCTCTGTACTGTATCTCACATGTCTCCCTCTTGCCTGCCCATCCAGCTGAGCCGCTGTCAGGTGTTCTACCAGAAGAAGACTCTCAGGACTCCCCCAGGCTGGGAGTGGCTCAGGTTGACACCCTAAAAGGGGACCAGGACCTGCTGACCTGCGGCCAGTGCCACTCCCGCTTCCCGCTGGCTGACATCCTGCTGTTCATTGAACACAAACGGAGGCAGTGCCACGGGAGCCTCTGCACGGACAAACCTCTGGACAGGCCACCATCCTCCCCGCTCGCCTCGCCCCTCTCCACGTCCTCCACGCACTCGCGGACCCACCATCAGCACCCGCGGAGGGTGTGTCACCCCGTTGAGGTGGCTGTTCAGGTGTCGCCGCAGGATGAGGATTGTTTATCTTCACCCTTGCAAGGAATAATCCCCAAGCTGGAGAATATCACAGGTAAACACACTGGGAGCTTAAAATGGCTGCCATGCAAGAGAGAGCAAATGAGCAAGAAAAAAAAAAAAATGTGGGCAGTGAGTCTTTGAGGTCTGAAGGTGTGCTGAGTGGGTCACACTCTGCAAGGTTCATAGAGAGTTTATTTCAAACCAGAACAATTGACAATTTCTCTCTGGTGTTTTTCTTGCCTCTGATAGTGAGGATGTATCCAATCTGCATAACCAGGGTGTGAAATATCTGCCGCTGCATTTAGGAGCTGTGAATCTCGCTCAGCTGAGCCACGAACCCACATGAAGACAAGCCGTCCTCAAAATGATTGTGAGAAATGGAAACATTCGCAGACAGTGAAAAAGACACACACGGCGACAGACAAAGACGCAGATTATGAAAGAGAGGAAGAGAGAGAGAGGGAGTAAAAAAAGAATTTCTTTTGGTTTGTTGCTGCATCACAGATGTGCTTAGATCCTGTGGCCTCCACATTCTCTCTCATGTGGTGGTGAGAGATGTATCTCCATCCCTCCCTGGCTTATTACACTGTCATATCTCCCTCTCCCTCAAATATGCGCCTGCAAAGGCTCACTATGATGCTAAAATTAAAAAGAGACAGAAAAGAATGTAATTATGCTGATCTATCAAGGAAGAAGCGTTTATTTGAGGAACCCTACAGCCACTAATTGTCAGTGTTTTTTCTTGATTTGAGTAATTAAGGACTTCTTAAGGCAGCTGCTCGGTTTGCTGGTTGTCCACCGGGGCTAAATGAGGCTGTAGTGAAAACACGAGTCGCTGTGCAAACAAGCATGAGTCCCTTATGACGGGTTTTACAGAGTGGGGTTTGATTTTGACCAGCCTATTTGAATGTTTATTCATTTCCTTTAACAGATCCGATATCGTGTGCCAGATTGGGCTGATTGTCTGGGCAGTTGTGATTTAATTTGAAGCCAATTCAGGCTAAATGCACGGAGAGTAGCACTCAACAATGTGCGCTACTGTACTGCATTAGTCAGTGCTTCAGCTTTGCAGATGGCATTGTAAAGGGACCACTGTTATCTGTTGTTAGCTAGTTATCCCTCTGTCGTACAGAATGACCACTGTTCATTAGTGTGCAGTTTGTTAAACATCTGTGCGCACACACACACACACACACACACACACACACACACGTGGACATGTACACACACACACACACACACACACACACACACACACACACACATACACATTCGACATGCCTCTTGGCCCTGTCAGCTGTTTGACCATGTTTTTCTTTGCTCATTTAGTTCATCGTGCAGTGGAGTTCACATGATATCATAAGGTCACTAGCATTGTGAGCAGAGCTTTATTTATAGGTCTCATGTCTCTGCACATTGTGTAAGCGCCAGGATTTACTTGAGTTGATAATGAATAGATTAACTTGGTTTGTATGAGGAGTGAGATTGCTTCCTGTTGTGATGCCTCATTTGATTGTGTGAGGTGAGTGCCAATGCAGATAAAGAAAAGGATAAACCAGCAACAGATCTTGGGTCAGACAGGAGATGCAGCCACCGTACGGGACAGACCACACATCAGTCACATATGCATAAAAGTCAGCCCCCCCCCCCCTCCCCCCCCCCCCTCCCCCCCCTTTTTCTGTTTTCCAAGATTGATGGATCCAGACTGGCAGTGCCAGCGCGCCACCCCATTCTCCATATGCTAGCTGCCATGTTCTCTCACCCTGCTCAGTTAGAGGCTGACACTGAGCTGAGGCGTCTCAATACATACTGTCCCCACACACACTGTAACTGTGCCATACTGGCTTCATGTCCAGTTCATTCCAGTGGAGTGTGTTACATGTTACATTTAGTGTATGCTGCTGTGCTGCATACACTCAAATGAATGTGACCCCTCCGCTCCCCACCCTCCTCCTGAAATGTCAGTCGACACAGATAGATCTCTGTATGGAGAGCAGCTTAAACAGGCGGGGGCTTGGGTTTAGGTGCAGGAAAGAAGCTGCTGGATTTAAAGCGAGATGACACCCAGGATGGTTGAACTATGAGGTGGGTGGGGGGTGGAGGGTGGGGGTGGTTGGGGGGCAGTTGTCTGTGATACACCCAGCGCTGGATATTGAAGCTTTGCCTCTCACTCTCCGTCCACGGGACAGCTGAGGCCGTCTGGGAGTCTCATGGCTGCAGCTGGGGCTGGGGTCTGCAGTCTGGAGCTCTGGGCCGTTAGAAGAGGGCAGAGCAGCCTGCGTGCCATCATTTGCATGATAAACAATTTAAGATATGCATAGGGACACCGAAGCTTGTCTCCAGATTATGGATGGCCCAGAAAAAGAGCAGATGACAGTTTCTCACACAAACTATGTGACTGCAGGGTCGTGTAAAACTGGATTTATTCCACGGGATATAATAACTACTAAAGAGGAAGAGCGGCGAAGAAGATCCATAGTTTTTATTTACATTCACATTCACTAACGCACAGACTAAATGCGAAATGTTATCGTGTTTGTTTGGTCTGATTTAGGATGCACAACCACACCACTGTGTAAAGGCTTCATCATGTCCTACATACCATAATTAGTATTTTTACAAATCGTTTCTCTTCGCTACATTTTATGAGCGTGGTGCCACATTCTTGCGCTCGTATTGCTGCATTACTGTACCCTGTATTTATCCATCTCAGCATTAGCACCTCTCGCATCCTCGCCAGTGTAGCCGCGTGTGGTAATGAGGCCATTGTAGCCGCGTAAATCGACCACCATCTCACACTTCTGCCTCTTTCCAGCACGCTGCCTCCATTGTAACCTGGACTCTGAATCGATACTGAGTTAATTATGGCAGCCACCTTTCCCCTTTTTCCCTCTATGAGAAGGAAAACATTCTTACGACGGAGCGGTATTTCTTGTAACACCTCTCTGTGGCTGTAGTGTGTCTTCTTGCAGCAGCTTGCCTGTCCTGTTTGTCCCTGTGTGTTGTGGAGACAAAGGTATTTAGCAGGCTCTGTATTGGCACTGTGCCACCTTTCTCCAAACCACCAGCCCCCCCCATAAGCACACATATACACACTGGGTATCTGTCAGGCAGAACTGGGGGGCTGGGCTGGGCTGTGCATGGGGAGTGTGTGTGTGTGTGTGTGTTAGTGTGTGTGTGTGTGTGTGTGTGTGTGTGTGTGTGTGGTGTTGTGTGTGGTGTGTGTGGGGTGGGTGGGTGGGTGGTGGTGGAGGGTGTAAGAGGCTCCTTGGTAGTGATGTCTTTTTTTTCCGGTGTCCAGTATGTCTGTGCGTGCATATGGGTCGCTGTGCAAGTTCACATGTGGCGTGTGCCTTTGTTTTCGGTGATCACTTTAATTGATAGTGAAAAGGCACAGATGCATGCTATTGTAATTATTGGATACCAGCTAATATTTTCAACATAAACTCCATTGTCTGTAAAAACTGACTCTAATTTGATCCTACAGCTGCTCCGGGCTCTGATAAAATCAGTCCTATTTTTGGCTGTGGGCTCCACTAAGTTTTAATGAAGGTGAACAGGAATGGTTTTTAGGATGAATTTTTCATAGAGGACATTTTTGTATTCCGAAGCCAAGCTCTAAACACCCACAAATGTTGTCGGCGGAGATTCGTCAGCCTTTGTTGTTGGATTGAGTGTTAGTGGCCTTGGCTGCATTCAAGTGCTGAGGTCTAGCGGATGTTTACATCTCGAGTGTGGATGCAGTGTTAAACTAATGTATGTGCATATGTGTGCATGTGTGTGTGGGTTTTGACCACTTAAGCTGTTTATAGCTTTCCGTGTGTGTGTGTGTGAGAGAGAAAGGGTGTGTGTGTCGGGCTGTTTGTTAAGGCTTTACTACCCTGGGCGTGCAGGCTGAACATGAAAGGGTCTTTGACTTGGCAAGCCTCGCCTGAGGACACCCCTCTGTGGACCATGCCAGGCCAGACTTGGCACAGAGCGCTGGGCCCGAGGGACGGGCTGGGCCTAAATATGTGTGTGTAAGAGGGAGGTAGAGGAGGTGTATCTGTGTGTTAAAATGATGTTTTGTGGGTTTAGGAAGCAGGACTTATGGTGAGGTGGCGGGTATGTGTGTGACTGACAGCGGGAGTGTGTGTGTACTTAAGGGTAGGTATGCAGGAGACTGTGGGTTTGTGTGTGTTTGCGTGTGTGTGTGTGTGTGTGTGTGTGTGTGTGTGTGTGTGTGTGTGTGTGTGTGTGTGTGTGTGTGTGTGTGTGTGTGCTGTCCCCAGGGCTCCTAGCTTGGGCTTCCTGTGTCTCTGTTTGTCTTCTAACAACCCCAGTACGACAGCCTCAGGCCATTCAGGTGGAGGCTAGTTGAAGTATGCACAAACACACACACACACACACACACACACACACACACACACACACACACACACACACACACACACACACACACACACACAAACAAACACACACATGCACACATAAGCACAAAAAGAGGCTTAAACAAATGCATGCACCTATCCACAAATGTACACACACCTGTTTTATGAACACAACAATGCCCCCCTCCCGACACACACACACACATGCAGACTGTCACACACATGTACAGTGTAAACCCCCTCCTGTGAAACTGTGTTGTGTCTGTAATAAATGTGTTGTGGCAGAGGCCCCATGATGTGTTGTGAGTTGATGAGATCTGTCAGAAACATATGATCCTTATTTTGCCCCCTCCAATCATACCCCCCCCCCACCCCCCCCACCCCCCGCCCCATCGTTTCTCTGTCTGTGCTTCCTCGGTCTCTCTATCTCTCTCTATCTCTCTCTCTCTCACTCACACTCTCTCTCCACGCATCGCTCCAGTAGTTTGTCTCGAGGGACTGGAAACTCTAAGTTTTGGCTACATTAGCGTGTCTGCACCTCTTAAAGGCTTCCAACATCCACTCTAGACCTCATTCTCACTCAGATTTGGCTGCAGAGCAAGCCAGAGGACACACACACATACACACAGACACACACTCGCGCATATACACTTTTACACACACATTCACTGCCTCTTTCTAT